AAGTCACCTGCTACACATGGTCCACCTAGTGTGACTTGTCTGTCGAGCCTAAGTTGCAGGGTATTAGGTTCGACCGTGGGTTTACTGAGTGCACTTTTCAGATAGAAGTTGCAGGTTCTCATGTCATCAAATAAAAAAAAAATAAAAATACTATTATCTTTTAATTTAATACAAAACCCCAAAGGACCCTTTGGAGTGGGACGGAGGTAGTATTTATGATAATTAGTTCAATTCCTAACCGTATAAATTTATTATTTTTATCGATATTCTCTCCGTTCTTAACGGTACATTTATTGGTATTAGTTGATATGTAAGGTATTGGTATACATTTATGTGTGTACATATATCGAAATTTCGATATAGTCTATGGTATAGAAAGTTAGTAATATTTATCGATATAATCTTTATTTCTAACTGTATATATTTATTGATTTTTCAGTATGTTAATGGTATACTTCCACATACAGAAAAAAAAAAAAAAAAAAAACTAGTATAATTTTTTATTTTATTAAAAAATTTCCACTCTAACCGTATAAATTTATTATTTTTATCGATATCCTCTCCATTCTCCATGGTACATTTATTGGAATTAATTGATATGTTCAGTACGGTATTGGTATACATTTATGTGTGTACATATATCAAAAATTTCGATATAGTCTATGGTATAGAAAGTTAGTAATATTATCGATATTATCTTTATTTCTAATAGTATATATTTTTTGATTTTTCAGTATGGTGATGGTATAAATCCTAATACATAAAAATTTTTAGTATAAATTTTTATTTTATCAAAAAATTTCCACTCTAACCGTATAAATTTATTATTTTTATCGATATCCTCTCCATTCTCCATGGTACATTTATTGGTATTAATTGATATGTTCGATACGGTATTGGTATACATTTATGTGTGCACATATATAAAAAATTTTGATATAGTCTATGGTATAGAAAATTAGTAATATTTATCGATATTATCTTTATTTCTAACCGTATATATTTTTAGATTTTTCAGAATGGTGATGGTATATATCCAGATACATCAAAATTTTTACTATAATTTTTTATTTTATCAAAAATTTTCCACCCTAATAGTATAAATTTATTATTTTTATCGATATCCTCTCCATACTCAATGTTAAATTTATTGGTATTAGTTGATATGTTTGGTATGGTGTTGGTATACATTTATGTGTGTACATATATCAAAACTTTTGATATAGTCTATGGTATAGCAAATTAGTAATATTTATCGATATTATCTTTATTTCTAACAGTATATATGTATTGATTTTTCAATATGGTGATGGAAGACATCCAGATACATAAAAAATTTTAGTATAATTTTTTATTTTATGAAAAGATTTTCATCCACTCTAACCATATAAATTTATTATTTTTATCGATATCCTCTCCATTCTCAACGGTACATTTATTGGTATTAGTTGATATCTTCGGTACGGTATTGATATACATTTATGTGTGTACATATATCAAAAATTTTGAAATAGTCTATGGTATAGAAAGTTAGCAATATTATCGATATTATCTTTATTTCTAGTAGTATGTATTTATTGATTTTTCAGTAAGGTGATGGTATACATCCAGATACATCAACAATTTTAGTATAAGTTTTTATTTTATCAAAAAATTTCACCCTAACCCGATAAATTTATTATTTTCATTGATATTCTCCCCATTCTCATTGGTACATTTATTAGTATTAGTTGATATGTTTGGTACGGTATTGGCATACATTTATTTGTGTACATATATAAAAAATTTCGATATAGTCTATGGTATGGAAAATTAGTAATATTTATCGATATTATCTTTATTTCTAATCGTATATCTTTATTGATTTTTAAGTATGGTGATGGTATACATCCAGATACATCAAAATTTTTTACTATAATTTTTTATTTTACCAAAAAATTTCCACTCTAACCGTATAAATTTATTATTTTTATCGATATCCTCTCTATTTTCAACGGTTCATTTATTGGTATTAGTTGATATTTTTGATACGGTATTGGTATACATTTATGTGTGTACATATATAAAAAATTTCGATATAGTCTATGGTATAGAAAATTAGTAATATTTATCGATATTATCTTTATTTCTAATCATATATCCTTATTTATTTTTATGTATGGTGATGGTATACATCCACATATATCAAAATTTTTACTATAACTTTTTATTTTACAAAAAAAATCCACTCTAACCGTATTAATTAATTATTTTTATCGATATCCTCTCCATTCTCAACGGTACATTTATTGGTATTAGTAGATATGCTTGGTACAATATTAGTATACATTTATGTGTGTACATATATAAAATTTTTTGATATAGTCTATGGTATAGAAAATTAGTAATATTTATCGATATTATCTTTCTTTCTAACCATATATATTTATTGATTTTTCAGTATGGTGATGGTATACATCCAGATACATCAACAATTTTAGCATAAGTTTTTATTTTATGAAAATATTTTCATCTACTCTAACCATATAAATTTATTATTGTTATCGATATCCTCTCCATTCTCAACGGTACATTTATTAGTATTAGTTGATATGTTCGGTACGGTATTGATATACATTTATGTGTGTACATACATCAAAAATTTTGAAATAGTCTTGGTATAGAAAGTTAGCAATATTTATCGATATTATCTTTCTTTCAAACAATATATATTTATTGATTTTTCAGTATAGTGATGGTATACATCCAGATACATCAACAATTTTAGTATAAGTTTTTATTTTATCAAAAAATTTCACCATAACCCGATAAATTTATTATTTTTATCGATATTCTCTCCATTCTCAACGGTACATTTATTAGTATTAGTTGATATGTTTGGTACGGTATTGGTATACATTTATTTGTGTACATAAAAAAAAAAAATTCGATATAGTCTATGGTATGGCAAATTAGTAATATTTATCGATATTATCTTTATTTCTAATCGTATATCTTTATTGATTTTTAAATATGGTGATGGTATACATCCAGATACATCAAAAATTTTACTATAATTTTTTATTTTACAAAAAAATTTCCACTCTAACCGTATAAATTGATTATTTTTATCGATATCCTCTCCATTCTCAACGGTACATTTATTGGTATTAGTAGATATGTTTGGTACGGTATTGGTATACATTTATGTGTATACATATATCAAAAATTTAGATATCGTCTATGGTATAGAAAATTAGTAATATTAATCGATACTATCTTTATTTCTAACCGTATATATTTGTTGATTTTTCAATATAGTGACGGTATACATCCAGATACATAAAAAATTTTAGTATAATTTTTTATTTTATCAAAATATTTTCACTCTAACCGAATATTGATTATTTTTATCAATATTCTCTCCATTCTCAACGTACATTTATTGGTATTAGTTGATATGTTCGATACGATAATGGTATACATTTATGTCTGTGCATATATCAAAAATTTTTAAATAGTCTATCATACAGAAAGTTAGCAATGTTTATCGATATTATCTTTATTTCTAACCGTATATATTTATTGATTTTTCAGTATTGTTATGATATACATTCAGATACATCAAAATTTTTAGTATAATTATATTTCTTATACAACCATCCGTAAATTAGACTTGCACTGAAGGATGTGACATTGTGTTACGACAAGATCAAACTGCCTCGCAACAGGTTCAATTATATATTTTTCTACAATTTTGGAGCTTGTACTTCACTTTTTCTAGTTCATATTTTTAATTATAGATTGACACACTTAATTCAATATCATCCATACATTCTAAATGCTTCAATGACTTGACTTATTCTTTGAATTTCATAGAATTACTTGAGGTATTTTTCATATTGTATGATGTGGTTTAATGGGATACATTTGTCGTATTTTTGTTCAAATACTAACACCAACATCTACATTGGTTCAAGCATCCCGTAGTTATGGAGTTTTTTCATGTAGTACCCCTGGATCTTTGGGTGATTCGTAATAATTTGGTAAGTACTTATGACCGTTAATATTTTTGCTTTATCTTTGTGCACTTTGGTTTGTGGATCGTGGGGCGATATTAGATAGTTTGGATGAAACCTCTCTTATGTTCATTCAGGTATTTGCAGAAGATGTTGAGAAGTGATACAATTGTCTTAATGGCAACATGAGAAAAAAATAGCTCAACTGGAAATGGACTTACTCTTGTAGGTTTACACCGGGATCTTATGATTCCATATTCAAAATTTTATGGCTTTGGTTGGTGATTGTTTTTATGTATTGATTAGGAAAAGTATTATTCATGTAAAAAAGTGGCAACTTGCTAAACTGTGACAAGTCAGTAATTTTTTATTTTGTTGATCACTTTAATCACTTGTCAAATTTTATTTTTCTCTAATTTTTTGAGTTGTGTTGTTGATAATATGGAACACTTCATTGTTGATTACATGCTTTGGGTTTCTGGTGAATATTTGTTATTTTGTTGGTTTTTATCATTATTATTATTATCATTATTATGATTACTACTTTTTAGTTTAATTTTTTGAATCTTGAATTATTCAACTGCATATACTAGTGTTCTTTTGATAAATCTTGATTTGATTCCACGATTCAATTAATTTTAAGAACTTAGTAATTAAACATTCTTCAATTGTATATTAACGTTACTACAAATTACATAGGCATAGGGAGAGTTCTACTAATCAGTGAGATTAGAGAACAAAATAACTACGACTCCTTCAACCTATACCTCCACCGTGGTTTACCTTGGAATATTCCTTCACAGGTTTAAATTGCAACAAACTCATACTGACAACAACCACAGAGCTGCTCAGAGTTTGTTCATTCTCTCTTATTGAAATTCCAGCAACTTCATTCCCCGACAAACTCTCCCGCGAGTAACAGTGCTATGTACTTATTCAAAACATGGAGAATAGATAGAACTTGGATAACAGCCTCAAAAAAATTTTAATTTTTTCAAATCATACAAACAACCATTCCAGTCTCACGGACTGTTTAAGGCAACCTCAGAATTGGCCAGTGCAACCATGCAATTAATTCCCCTTTTCACATATATGGTATGGGGACTTTCTTCACACTTCTGATAGAAAGAAGACAATGTTGTGCATCCGATTCATGATGAATGTCGAGCAGGGCTTTCTCGATCTTCCCTGGGTCAGCTGAACAAGTACGGACTAGAGGATTCGGATTGAAAACCTGAAAACAAACAAACACAATAAATTCATTGAATTACAACTATCAAAGAGGAAGAAATAATTGATTTGACGAACAAACACCGCATACCATTAACCATGTAAATGCTGTCAATACAAGAATCGATTCGAAGAAATAAAAAATTACCTTGTCAATCATATTCCATTGGCCTACACTAGGCTCGACCAGTGCTTGCTTTCCTGATTCATGATATTTAAGCTGCACATACATGATCCAGGTGAGGTGATGAGCAAAGAAATATATAAATAAATATTAGGCGAAAACTTTACCATTGGAAATGGCAAAACCCGAGCCTCTATGGTGGCGAGCTCAGTCTTTACTTCAATGCCGAATTGTCAAGCAAGACTGTCAGCGGCATAATTGTTCTTCCTCACCATCTGCATATCAAACATAAAAGCATGGGAAAAGAAGTTCGGAAATTTTCAATGAAAGAGTAATCAGTTTCATAAACCCTTGCCTCTTGGATGGTGGCCTGTCTTTCACTTGGCCGCTTACAAGTAGCTTTGAGCAACGGGCATACTTGCCTCTCATTCAATTTTTTAGAATATCGTTGGCCCCCGACAATTTTGTAGATCTGCACATCAACAATTCAGGTGGCAAAACCCGAGCCTCTATAGTGGTAAGCTCGGGACTGTCAGCGGCATAATTGTTCGACTCAATTTTACCCTACATGCAAATTCCTTTATCGTTTAAACATATTTAATTATCAATCTGTGTTTTGACTCAATTTTGAGCTCCGATCGACTCTCGTGAATTTGTTGTGCGTTAATATGCATATATTGAATCACAACATATTTTCATAAAAGTAGAATACATTCATGGATAATCAATACAAATTCGGAGAACCATAATACAGTCAAATTAGGAAATAAATTTCAATTTTGTAGGAATTTATAGTTCGCATAAAATATATTATTACCAACCATTTAAGTCTAATATCATATTTAGGAAGATATTGAACAACTTATATTTTTCATCAGGTATCATCCAAGAAAAAGAGTTTATGTATGGTTACGGATTCAAACTTTGCTAAAACATTTTTGGTCGAGTATGTCACATATATACGAGGAGAATTGGAAGTTGGCATGATATGGTAGCATTTGATGCAAAATTATAGTATGGATAATACAATCATAATACTTTCTATTAGAATATACAACCTATTTCCTATTTTGGCATAAGATACAAATATTAACTTTTGCTGTGAGAACTTATATGCTACACCGAAATGGAAAAGGTAGTCTTGTCTTGGACAAATTAAAATTTTGGACTGTCAAGCTTGTCTCTTATGGTCAAATATTTGTTTGTATGTTGCAGATGCATTAACTGTCTGATTCTTATCCCCCAACTTGGCCAAAAGAACAAAAAAAAAAAAAAAAGGAAAAAAGGACAAATCAGTAAAAAAAGTTTGTAGATTGTTTTGATTGGTAGTGAGAAAAAGTCTCTCAATTCTCTCTCAACGGTGAGTCTGACGGGCCAGAAAATGTTCTTTTAGCAGGAGGCATTTTTTTAAAAAATTAATAATATATAATAATTTTAAAATTATAAAATAAAGTGCAAATAATTTTTTTTGCCTAGAGTTTATCGAGTTATCACTTGTCTCAACTTGATCACATTGAGATATATCCTAAGGATGCATGTAAATGTCTGTTTCATCTTCTATCATCATATTACGTAATATTATGCATGCGTTCATTATTTTACTTACTAATTGATATCTCAAATAAATGATAAAACAATTTTCAAACCATAAATACCATATAATATATATTATAATTTTTATATGGATTAAATAAGAAAAGAATGTAATGGTCCCACACAGAAAGGAGGAAGAAACGGTATAATAGAAGTGGACAGTTTCTTGTGTCAGACACGTTTTTTAGTTTTTTTTTTTGTTTAAAAGATGATGTGGCACCTGCAACATACAAACAAATAGTTGACGGTAAGGGAAACTTTCTAGACAACCAGCAGAAAGCCTTTTCCATTTTGGTATTGCAGGTAAGTACTGACACCAAAAACTGACATTTGTATGTTATGTCAAAATAGGAAACAAAGTTGTATATTCTACTAGAAAGTATTATGATTGTATTATAATACTTTCTTAGATGAAACCTGATGATAGATATCAGATGTACAATATCTTTTTAAATTGGTGGCAATACCATATTTTATGCAACTACAAATTCCCAAAAAATTAAAATTTATTTCTTAATTTGAAAGTATTATGATTATCCAAATTTGTATTGATTATCATGAATGTGTTGTAATTTCATGAAAATATATTGTGATTCAATATATGCATTATGCCGCACGATAAATTCACTAGAGTCGATCGGAGCTCTCAATTGAGTCGAAACATAGATCGATAATTAAATATGTTTGCAGGGTAAAGTAATCAGCATGTACGGCAAAATTGAGTCAAACAATTATGCCGCTGACAGTCTTGCTCAGCAATTTGGAATTGAAGTCAAAACGAAGCTCGCCACAATAGAGGCTCGGGTTTTGCCACCTCCAATGGTAAAGTTTTCACCTAATATTCATTTAGATATTTCTTTGCTCATCACCTCACCTGGATCATGTATTTGCAGCTTCAATATCATGAATCCGGGAAGCAAGCATTGGTGGAGCCGAGCATTGGCCAGTGGAATATGATCGATAAGGTAATTTTTTATTTCTTCGAGTCGATTCTTTGATTGGCAGCATTTACATTGTGAGATATACTTATGATCCTCTTTGTTCTACAGAAAATGGTTAATGGACCAAGAGTTGATTTCTGGGCGTGTATTTCATGTACTCGGTCGAATTTGGATGTGAACCGTTTCTGCCATGAGCTAATCAACATGTGCTGTAGTAAGGGGATGGTATGTGGTTTTGGTTCGTCAAATCGATTAATTTTCCTCTTTGATAATTTTAATTCAATGAATGTATTGTGTTTATTTGTTTTCAGGTTTTCAATCCGAATCCTCGAGTCCGTATGATTTCAGCTGATTCAGGGAAGATCGAGACAGCCCTGTGCGCCATTCATCACGAATCGGAGGAACAGCTGAAAAGGATGAATGCAGCAGGAAGATACCTTCAGCTGCTCATCATTATCCTGCCCGATTATTCTGGCTCGTATGGTGAGTTTAAATGATATTTCTTCGTAGCAAATCATTGCTATTGTGATAGCAATGGTAGCAAGGAATGTATCGTCATATGGCTAGTAAATTTAAATATGATATAGATAATATTTTGGCGTGTTATATTCGTGTATGTGAAATAATACTTAAGTTCCTGCATCTTAGTTTTTATTCCCTTAAGACTTTTAAGGTAACGAATTTGTTCAAATCCTTTTAAATGATACTACAGACAAATAGTACCAAGAGGAATATTTTGGTATATGTAAACAGAGCGGGTGATTGAGGGTGGCAAAATGCAAAAACTTCCAAATATAATAAGTATTTTGCCTTTTGTCATCTATGAAGTATAAGTAATATATTGTCTTAAAAATTGACAATTTTAATATTTAATATTGAAAATTATGTTTTATAAATAATTATTTAATTACTAATATATTATAACATTAGCTTCTTTTATAAATTTAAAATAAGGTTACTGCAAATGTAGGTAAAATGAGCCCTTATTTTCAATGGGCCGTGGGCTGACACCCCTCTCCTCGAACCCTAAGGCCGGCTCTGCAACCCAATAATATTTTCCTAACAGGCAACATAGCCCATACAAAATTTAACCAATAGTACTCTTCTTACTGGCAACCAAGTCCATCCCACCAATTTTCTCCGTTATTAATCTTTGTTTTATAGATGAAATCGAAACTTTATGAACGCATCATTTGAAGGTTTAAGACAGATCATTTTTATGATTATGTGTTGCAAGTATATTTTAAGTTTGGATCAATATGTTGCCATTGTGTGTATAATATTTATTGAAAATTAATTACACAAATAAGTTATAATAAAATAACAAAATGTAATGTTGCCAAAAAAAAAATGTAGTTCACATAAAATATATAATTGTGTTACAAAACTTTAAGTCTCTTTGGCTATACATGTTGACTTGTCGCGCAATCAATCAAATATTTCACCTAATCCGTTATCACAATTTAATGTAATACAGGGGAAGGGATCGTCTCCACAGGGATTGTGTGATTCACTCTTTCGTGTTCTAATGCAGTAAATAAATGGGGGATTTTCTTTTATTATCTAATGAAAATAAAATAACAAAGCAATTAAATTAAGGGGAATTGACTATCAAGGGGATGTCTGGCTGAAGGGATGATGCAGTTATGACACTTGTGTTTTATCATTAATTCAATAAAATTAATTCTTATTAAAGTATCAATAAAGTGGCTATAGTTATCAACAAGCTCTGACAACAAATTTTTCCTTACAGTGTAGGTAATTAAGGTACGACCGTTAACTACCCCTAATTAAGCAAATAAACCTAGGTGCGCCCATAAGAATATTGCCTAACCGCATTCCAATCTAGAAAAACCCAATTCAAAACAATTACTACCTAAGAGGAGCAATTAGATTTGATTGTCTAACCCCCGGGAAGGAACTATTTAACCCGGTTGTCACCTATTCAAGTGCGAATATAATTACGGATATCCTACCTGAATTGATTTTAGATTATCAGACTAATTTAAATATCGGTACCAAAATATTCAATCAATCTAACAATCACAAACGCTATTCTCAGAATTAGACAAATATTGATAATCAAAAAAAACTTTTATAAAGAAAATCAAGAATCTCCAAAACAAAAGAACCAAAACATTATCACTCCTCAAACCAGAAAAATATCTACTCCATAATCAAATAACAAAGAACAAAAGAGAAAGATGAAGTCATAGTGGGAGGGGGAAATCTTCTCTGTCGATTTTCTCCTGCGCGATCTATGAATCTGTCAGTCTCTTGCTGCTGTGCGTTTCTGCCCTAGCCGTCATCTCTGGCCAAATAGGCCTGTGTTCCCCCCTTTTTATTTAATTTTTGCCCTAATTAATTTGTAGATGGGCTTTTGGGCCTTTAATTAATTTCTCATATCAAGAGTGTGTAGTTAGTCATGGTCATGACTAACTAGGTTGTGCAAATCTGAATTTTTCTTCCCTTTTTCTGCCAATTATGCCAAATTTGATATTTGCCCTCTGCACACAGCAAATAAACAATTCGCATATAAATTAGGTAGAATCCAATCAAAATCACTCAAATATCGCATATGATATGAATATAAAACGCATGCGATTTCTAACTATCAATTCTCCCCACACCTAGATCATGCTTGCCCTCAAGCATAAA